TGGAGGGGCCTCTCCGAGCCAGCCCAGAGGGACAATCCCTGCCCTGCTCCTGCTGGACACACAATTCCTCATCCAGCCCAGCTGCCAGCGGCCTCTTGCCCCCCTGGGCACCCCTGGGCTCGTGTCCAGCCCCTGGCACAGCACCCCCAGGGCACTTTCCCAACACATTCCTGCTCTCCAGGCACTCAGGGTGCTCCTGTCTGCCTCCTAGCACAGTTTCCACTTCTGCATTGCTGCTGATTCCAGTGGTCCAGGGCAGGGAATGGAGCTGGAAAGGGGCTGGAGAATCCCTGAGGGAGCTGGGAAGGGGCTGGAGAGTTCCTGAGGGAGCTGGGAAGGGGCTGAGCTGGAGCAAAGGAGGCTCAGGGGGACCTTGTGGCTCTCACAGCTCCTGCCAGGAGGGGACAGCCGGGGGGTCGGGCTCTGCTGCAGGAACAGGGACAGGAGGAGAGGGAACGGCCTCAGGCTGGGCCAGGGCAGGCTCAGGGTGGATATTTGGAAACATTTTTTTGGGGAAAGGGTGCTCAGGTTTTGGCAGGGGCTGCCCAGGGAGGGTTGGAGTGCCCATCCCTGGATGGCTGGTGTGAAAAATGCCAATCACTTGTTTTTCTTAAATTTTCTTAAATTTTTAAAGATTAATAATAATAAAATGGTTATAAAAATAACAATACAATTAGAGTAATAAAATTTAGAGTTAGGACAATTGCAAGACAATAAAAAGCAAAGAATTACGGATGTCCGGATGCTCTCAGACGCTAAGTCACAAAAAGCATCCCTTGTGAACAAAGGAATAACCTTAAAAGCAATAACCTTTTGCATATTCATATATCTCATACATGATGCATAAATTCATTGCAAATTAAGAAATTTTCTGGTTTTTGTCAACTTCTCCTTAGTCTTGTTGCTTCCACAAAGACGGAGAGAAGGTGGAAGAATGTTTGTCATTTCTGATAAGGAGGCTGTGACTTTTTATGGGCCCCCTTTGCTGACATCTCTGTGTGAAGAGTTTCTTAATTACCTCATTTTCTTGCTTGAGCTTGTAACAAATCCTATATCGCAGAGTTTCTATGTTAACATTATGTTGTAACCTAAAACTACATTTAACACACTACGTAAGAGAATTAAACCAGCATAACTTTCTAACATTACACACATAATACTCATTGTAACATTGGCGAAAAGCCAATCGTAAAATACGCATTTTTCACAGCTGGGGGACACGGCTCGGGCACAGTTGGAGAAGGTTATATCAAATCCTGGAAAGGGAAATATTTTTTCCTGGAAAGGGAAATATTTTTTCCTGGAAAGAGAAATATTTTTTTCCTGGAAAGGGATATATTTTTCCTGGAAAAGGTGCTCAGGTTTTGGCAGGGGCTGCCCAGGGAGGGTTGGAGGTGGCACTGAGCGCTGTGGGCTGGGGGCAAGGCGGGGATCGGGCACATTCGGACAAGGTTATATCAAATCCTGGAAAGGGAAATATTTTTTCCTGGAAAGAGAAATATTTTTTTCCTGGAAAGGGATATATTTTTTCCTGGAAAGGGTGCTCAGGTTTTGGCAGGGGCTTCCCAGGGAGGGTTGGAGCGCCCATCCCTGAGCACTGAGCGCTGTGGGCTGGGGACAAGGCTCGGCCACAGCCAGACAAAGTTATATCAAATCCTGAAAAGGGAAATATTTTTTCCTGGAAAGGGTGCTTAGGTTTTGTCAGGGGCTGCCCAGGGAGGGTTGGAGCGCCCATCCCTGCAGGTGGCACTGAGCGCTGTGGGCTGGGGACAAGGCTCGGGCACAGCCGGACAAAGTTATACCAAATCCTGAAAAGGGAAATATTTTTTTCCTGGAAAGGGATATATTTTTTCCTGGAAAGGGTGCTCAGGTTTTGTCAGGGGCTGCCCAGGGAAGGTTGGAGCGCCCATCCCTGAGCACTGAGCGCTGTGGGCTGGGGACAAGGCTCGGGCACAGCCAGACAAAGTTATACCAAATCCTGGAAAGGGAAATATTTTTTCCTGGAAAGCGTGCTCAGGTTTTGTCAGGGGCTGCCCAGGGAGGGCTGGAGGCGGCACCGAGCGCTGCGGGCTGGGGGCACGGCGGGGATCGGGCACGGTTTCACGGGGTCACACCAAACCCCGTCCCGACCGGCGCCGTCCCCTCACGGCGCCCTCAGCCCGCCCCTGAGGGGAGGGGGCGTGGCCCCGCCGCGCGCCCCTTCCCGCGCGCGCGCCCGGCGCCGGAAGCGCGAGCGGCCGCGGGGGAGGCGGAAGCGCGCGCGGGGCCGCGGCCGAAGATGGCGGCGAAAACACAGGGCGGGATCCGCCTGAGCGCGGTGAGTGCCGGGGGATGGCGGAGCCGCGGCCGGCCGGGGCACGGCACCCCGGCCACCGGCTCTTCACACCTGCTGCCACGGCCTGGGGCGCCTTCCGCCGTCCCGGGCTGCTCGGAGCCCCGTCCAGGCTGGCCTTGGGCGCTGCCAGGGTCACTCCCTCAGTGAGGGCGGGGATGTGCGGCCGGGGGCTTCCCCGCCCTCACGGCGGCTCTGAGCCGGGAAAATCCCCTTCTCTGAGGGGTTTGTGCCCGGGGGAAGGTGAGGGCTGGGGTGGGCTCGGTGTTGGGGGCGGGATGTCCCCGCCTCTGGTGAGCGCCGTGACCTCTAATTGCCGACTTGGAACTTCACATCTTAACTACTTTTATCGCAAGCGGCCTAATTACATTTTAACCCTAATTGCGGCTGAGAGGGATGAGTGTTCACGCAGTTAAATGCTGCTGTGTTGTGTTTTCTGTCGTGGTATTGTTGCTTGTTATTGCTGAGCTGTTGTGCCAAGTCTTCGATTTTTTTGTGCCCGTGGAAATGAAGTTAAAGCTGCTTTTTCAGGTGAAACAGGAGGGGTTTTTCCAAGTCAATACCTGTTCTCATCACCTTGATTTAGAAGAGTGAAAAGAAGCAGGAGTGCTCTGATGAGTAACTTATGAAATATTTGAGAGATAAAGGTGTGTTCGAATATGCTCAGCACTGCTGGAATCACAGAATCATTTAGGATGGGAAAGACCTCCCAGATCTTTGAGTCCAACCTCGGGCTGAAATTTTATCACCTAATATCGATTTATGTTACACTAATATCCATTTCTGTTACTTTAATATGAATTTATATTATCCTAATAAAAGTTGCTAAAATAAATTATTCTAGAGATGAGCCCTAAACATCATCTCCTTGCAGTTCCAAAATTGCATTTTGATTTTGATTTCAGGCCTTTAATTCATGGAAGTGTTTGAAACCCACAGTTTGTGTGATATTTTATTACAGCAGGATTGTCTTGCTTCTTTAGATCAAGATTGGGTTTATTATTATTTTTTGGACATCTTATTGGTCATCTTGAAAGGAAAAATATCAAAAATCAGCCTTTGCATGTGACAGTTCAGAGTTTAAAATCATTCTCAGGCTGAAATCACTTTGCCAGTTGGAACTCTCAGAGATACAAATAAAACAAGATTAACTTGGTAACTTTTTGAATTATTTTTAGGCTGCTCTTTGGTTTTGCCTGTTGCAGGCACAACTGAGAATTTTGAGAATTTGCATTCAGTGGCTTTCCAGTGAAAGCTGTGCGGTTTGTGGGGTTGTTTGTTTTTTTTTTTTTGCTCAGGTGAAGCAGCTGATGCAGTTTTGACCAGGTTTTGTAAAATGCTTTGTAATGCAGACAATGGTGAGGAGAGCTGGTAGTCACAGTTCTGTGGGAATATAAAGTATTTCCAGTGGGTTTAGAGGCACTGGGAGGGCCTGGGAACTCATTCCCACCCTGGAATTTATCTCCTGCTGGTGCTCTGGCAATATTTTTGTCCAGCTGAACAAGGAAGAAGTGATCCAGGTTAATATTTTAAGAGTGGTTTTTAATTTGGATCAGTCCCTTGATGTGGTTCATTGAACAGTGGTGATTACACCTGGGATTGTGTAGCTGGCAGGAGAAATTTCAGCAGGAATTTCCCCCTGGAAAGGGTTCTCAGGCCCTGGCAGGGGCTGCCCAGGGAGCTTTGCAGTGCCCATCCCTGCAGGTGTCCCCTGGAGGTGGCACTGAGTGCTCTGGGCTGGGGACAAGGTGACAGCACACCTGTCATAGATGGGACTCCATGGGCTTTTCCAACCTAAACAATTCCATGAAAATGGCAGAGTTGTTCCTCAGAAAGTTGTTAAATAACTGCAGCCTAAACCAAGATGCATTTTTCACTCAATGAATGAATTGCTGTCGTGATAATGGGTCGTAATAGAAATTTAAGAAGTTCCTAAGATGAGGCAAACTCTGCAGGGGTTTGGGATTTGTGCACACCTTACAATCTGCAAGGGATGGGAAACTGAAATTCCCAAAGCTGCCTGTCATTTTTGAGAGATAAACTGCTTTATTCTTCAATATTTGCTGGTTTTAACTGCAGCAGATGCTCTTCTCAGGACAGTTTAGTTTCAGATATGCAGGTCTGAGTTGCATTTGGCTGTATGGAAAAAATGAAATTACTAAATAAAACTCACTTAGTAATGAAATATGTTTGGCAGAGTGAGTGTTCAACTCTTACTGACTCTCAATTAATTATGAGCTAATTAAAGTGATGCATTGATGAATGAAGTGTAAGGACAAATGGTCTGAAATATTTCCTGGTGAGTTCATCAGGAATTAGGGAGTGGTTGCTGAGAGCTGGATTGCTCTGGAGGAAACTACAAAACTGATGGCCTTAAACCACTCTTCTCCTGGTCTTTAATCTGGTTTTTCCCCTTGTTTCAATGAGGAAGGCCAGGCTGGATGAGGCTTGGAGCATCCTGCTGTGCTGGGAAGTGTCCCCATCTGGGGCAAGGCTTGATTTTGGGGAATTTCATGGGTTTGGGGAATTTATGGTCCCTTCCAGCCCAGAGTAGCTGGAATTCTGTGATCAGGAGGTGCTGTGTGCTCTGAGGTAACTTTCCCATGAATTCCCTGTGGCACACTTGCTCGGCTTTTGCTGAGGAATGGGAGATATGAGAGCCAAGACTCCATTTGCCCCAGTTCCCATCTTCCAGCCCTTCCTTTGCCTGTCACAATTCCCAGTCCTGTGAACCACTTGCAGCCTTTCTCAAACCCTCCCCAGGCAGAGATCTAGTGAATGTCAGCAGGATTCCTGTGATGTTCTTGTCAGAATTCCCAGTGGTTCACAGCACTGGGAGCTGTTGTGTTACACAGGCAAGGTTTGATTTCTGTGCACACAGAATGGTTTGGTTCACAGGCAAAAAAGGACATTTATTGGTGATGGTGCCACTGAGTTGTCCTCAGCATTGTCTGATGGTCAGGGGAGGCGCTGCTTCCTTTTCAGAAGGAATTTCTTCCTTGGAAAGGTGGTTAGGCCTTGGAAAGAGTTGCCCAGGGGGGTTTGGAGTGCCCATCCCTGCAGGTGTCCCCTGGAGGTGGCACTGAGTGCTCTGGGCTGGGGACAAGGTGGGCATGGGGCCCAGCTGGGACTCCCTGGGCTGGGAGGGCTTTTCCAACCTCAAGGATTCCATGAAATTCTCAAGTGTTAGTTGATGCCTCTGTCAAAACCACAGTCAGGACTTCTTGCCAAGTCCCTCTTGCTGAGAATCCAGCAATGAATCCAGCAGGGAATCCAGCAATGAATCCAGCAGGGAATCCAGCAATGAATCCAGCAGAGAATCCAGCACTTCCAGCCCCCTGTGGTGCTGGAGTTGTTCAGTATTTCAGCAGGGAGATGAGCAGGTGCCAAATCCCTGAATGTGCATCCTTGTGGTGGGTTGGGATTTTTAAATGTGGTTTTGTTTTGCCAGGGAAGGATTTCAGGTGGGAAAAACCCCATCAGTTATTTCTGGTGGATTTTGATCCCAAAGCTTAGAAAACCAAGGAGCAGATGCTGGAGAATCAGATGAGGAGAATCACCCAGGGCTCTGAGGATCCCCTGAGTTCCTGCACAGCAAAGGGAGAAATCCAAAGATCCTTTTGCCCACGTGCCGTGGCACATGTGAGCTTTCCATTAATAGCCCAGAGGAATTTTCTTTTGGATTCAGAATGACTTGGAAGTGTTTGGGAGCACCCTGGCTCAGCCTGGCTCCATGCACCAGATTCTGTAAACCTGGAGTTCTGCAGCATAGATGGCAACGAGGAAGGTGCTGTCTGCTCCCTCTGGTGCTCCATGGAGAAATGCAGGGATTAGGTTGCAGTTGGAATTGTGTCATGTGCTGCTGTGACCTGAGACTCGAGGTGAGGGCTCTTGGCACCTTCTGTTGCTCTGAAGCAGGGCTGCTGCTTCTCCCTGTGCCTTCCTCCTGCTCTGGTGCCTGGTTTGTGGCTCTAGGATTAGCTTTTAGCATCATTTCTTTTCACCTTGGAGTTTTGAAGTGGCTGCTTGCTTTTATTTGCACTTTATTTGCACTTTTATTTACACTTCATACCTCGATAAAAGTGCTTGTCAATGAGTAACTGTGTAAAAATGATGCAGTATGGATATGTACACAGTATTTTAAAATACCTCTTGGATTTTCTCTGTATAATAATGTGGATTATGTTGTGGTTTTTGTGTGACTCAGTGGTACAAGGGCTGTTTTCAGTGTTTTGTGTTCATAGGTGCTGCTTTTTCTGCCATCACCACCACTCTGGCAGGGGGCTTGAGCAAATCTGTGCAGGGCGTTTGTGTTCAAGGCTTTGTAGGAGTGTAACCATGGATTTCCTCAGGGATAATGCAAACACAAGTAGCAGCTACAGCAGTTCAAATTTCTCCAAATGTTGCATGGACAGGTCCTTAATTTACATGGATTTTTATTTTTGGTTTTCCAAGTCTCTAAGTGAATGCATGTGAGCCTAGGCTGGGGCTGCTTGGCAGTTCTTTTGGCACTGACATCTCCAAGTTACATCCCATCAAGAGGTGCTTTATTTGCATGTTTTCATCTAATTCTGGCAGTGCCTGTGCCTTTGGGTACATGAAATGTGTGAGATCCAGCTGTTAAAAGCACAAAGCACCCTCTGAGAGGGGTTTTTGGTCACTGTGGGCACAGACAGTGACCCACAGAGGGTATTGGGTGCTGCTCACTCTTCACATGAAGTTTGAATCCTCCTGGTTTAAAATACGAATTTTTAACATCTGAGAACTTCTGTTACTGGGTTTAGACCACAGCTTTGATGTTTCCTGTAACCTCTGTCATCATTAATAGCAATAGTTCCTTATATTTTTATAAAGACTGTTAGGATGACAGCCCATGCTGAGACTGTGCTGGATTTCCTCTTCAAGAGCTGTATTAATGTACCCTGCCAATACCCAGAAATCACCTCAATTGCAGCCTTTTGGTGGCGTTGTCCAAACCAGCCTCATGAAATCTTCCTTTATTTGACAGCCTGGTTTCTGCCTTGGAGAGCACAAACTAATGCCCCTGCTTGTGCTTTATTCCAGCTGTCACCAAAGTTCTTGCACACCAACTCCACCAGTCACACCTGGCCCTTCAGTGCAATTGCAGAACTCATAGGTAGGTGATCAATAGCTTGGAATAATTCTTGTTTCTTTTTACAAACCCTTTTTCCTTCCTTTTAGGGAAAAACCTGGCTGAACATCCTCAGTGTTTTGCTCTTTGTTCTGGTCCTTTTGCCTTCATTACCCGGGGCTTGTGCATCTGTTCGTTAGCTCCTGTTGATCATCTTGCCTTTGATTTTCAGCAGAAGTTAATTGGACATCTCCAGTGTTCCTCTTTTCCACAGTCAGGGAATGATGAGCTGGTTCCTCAAAAAGAAGGTGTGGCTTGGGAGCCCAGCCAAGCACTGACTGAGAACTTTGCTGCTGCCAAAGGGATCAACTCCTCTGGTCACACATCTTCCCCCTTTTGCTTCTTTCTTTCCTTCCCCTCCTTTGCTTCTTTCTTTCCTTCCCCCCTTTACTTCTTTCTTTCCTTTCCCCCCTTTGCTTCTTTCTTTCCTTCCCCCCCTTTGCTTCTTTCTTTCCTTCCCCCCCTTTGCTTCTTTCCTTTCCCCGCTTTGCTTCTTCCTTCCCCTTTCCTCCAGAAAATTAACCTAACAGAAGAAAAGAGGGATTTTTCAGCTGGATAAGACCAAAGCTGTCCCAGAGGAGGAGAGCAGAACCCTGTGGCTGTGGAAAGGCCTGGCTGTTTTGGGAATACAATCTGTTCAATCATCTCGGCTCTTTTCACACTCCAAATACTTCCAAACTCTCAGTTGTACCTGTCTGTCCTTTTTTTGTGATGCTGAAATACATTTTAGGAACTATTTCACTGTGATGCAATTTGGACATAAAGTTTATAGGAAGAAACCTGCCAAGATTTCAATCACCAGCCTGTGAGTCCTGTTATTGGCTTGTTATCTGTCTCTCAGCTGAACCTGCAGAGCAGGCAGTGAGGCAGAGGTGCCATCACATCCCACCCTCCTTCCCCCTCCCAAATCCTGGCTGTGCTGCCAGGAGGGCTTGTGGAGCCCTGGTTTCTCTTTCACTCCTGTTTGATTTTCACATCCTGTAAACAGAAAGTTGAGTCTGAAACATTTTGCAGCTCCCCTCTGTAAGGGCTGGGAGAAAGCAGACATTGCACCAGCTGCTCTGCAGGCAGGAAATGAAACCGGAATCTTGGCTTGCTTTCATTTTCTCTTCTCGTGTGAGCTGCTCACCTCCAGCTACGTCTTTGGTCCCTGTTCTGCTGTCGTTGATAATCTGGGGAATTTTGTGTTTGTTTTGTGAAAAACGCCAATCACTTGGTTTTTAAAATTTTAAAAGTTTAATAATAATAAAATGGTTATAAAAATAGTAGTACAATTAGAGTAATAAAGTTTAGAGTTAGGACAATTACAAGACAATAAAAAGCAAGGAATTGTGGACATCCGGATGCTCTGGACACCAAGTCATGAAAAGCATCCCTTGTGAACAAAGGAATCACCCTTAAAACAATACACTTTTTGCATATTCATACATCCTTCATGGTTATGCATACATTCTATTCTAAACAAGAAACTCTGTCTGTTGTATGTCAACTGTTTCCTTTAATCCCCATGGCATCTTCAAGTCTGAGCAAGGCCTGAAAAAATTAGTTTCTTCTGATAAGAAAACCATAAATTCCTCTCCTTTGGAAGATTTAGGTGTTCCTCGAAGCGAGTATCTCATTCCTAAAAAAAAAACTCCCCCACATACATAGTCTCTATTTTAACATTGTGTTAGAACCTAAAACTGTATTTAACACTCCTTAAGAGAACTAATACAGCATGACTTTCTAACATTACACATATAACATTCATTGTTATATTTGCAAAAAGCCAATCATAGAATATGCATTTTTCACAGTTTGGGTGCAGCTGTTCCATCCTAACACTCTGATTGACTTTAAAATGTGTCTGCACTCAGCTGAATTTTTGTTTCCTGGTCTCCCACACTGTTTGCTTTCCTTGCCCTCAGATAATGCCTACGATCCAGATGTGAGTGCCAAACAGATCTGGATTGACAAAACCGTCATCAACGACAACATCTGCCTGACGTTCACCGACAACGGCAACGGCATGAACTGCGAGAAGCTGCACAAAATGCTCAGGTGGGCAACCCCTTCACACCTGTCTTGTACAAATTCCAGCTCTGCTGCTCAGTGTTTTCCTGTTTCTCATCTGTAATTCAATGATTTTGCTCACAAATTCAGCATTTCTGAAGGTCCAGGTGAGACCCCAGAGTGGGCAGATGCTGCTAAAGCTTCCCTGTAACTTTGTCAGGGAACTTTCGCTTCATAATTTCCTTTTGTACTTTCTTTCAGCCTTCCCTTTATGCTGTGGAAACTCTCTGTAGTGGCTGCTAGTGGAGATAAGGAGAATTCAAACATTTTATTTTTACTATAATCATCATCATTATTATTAATAATAATAATAATAATAATAATAATAATAGGGTACATGAAATGTGAGAGATCCAATACTAAAAGCGGGGATTTTGGTTACTGTGGGCACAGACACACTTGCTTTAGTTTAAGTTAGTGAATGAAAGAAAAAGGGATATTCAGCTCAAACCCATTGGAATATTAGTAATAGAATGTATTGTAGAAAAATCAATGGATTTTCTATTTTTTAAATAATTATCTCTTTAAATATTCTGTGGGGCTGAAACAGATTTTTCTCTTATTTCTACAGTGGCAAAAAGCTTTCTGTGCAATTTCTCTTAGTGTAAAAATTGCTCTGCCTGCAGATTTAAATTTGAGCAAGCTTGAATTCAAACTGTTATTTTTCTGTTAGATACCATAATAAATCCTAAATTTCATATGCAGTTCCCTGTTTTACTTGAAGTGAGGTATGGAAATGGAAAACTTGTGAATCGAACATTTTCTAGGAAGTGGACAGAGGAAGAAGGGTTAGGGGCTTTTATTAGTATTTACTGTGAAATTACAGGATAACTACCAGAATCCCATAAGAATGCTTTTTCACGTATTTCCAAACTTGATATTTCTATTCTGTACTTAAAAGCTGGAAGTAGATTTTCCTGAGTTTTTGCTGTGTGGTTTTAGCAGTGTTGTCCAGGTGATTTTAGGATTTGATTGTTCAGTAGTTCCTGACCTCTAAAACAAGAGGGTTGGGTTAAGTAATTTGCCAAGTCTTGTGCTTGAATTTGTTGAACCCTCAAGTTTTTCAGGGAATTTTTTCTTGATGCCTTGAGAAGGCTGACCTAGAACAAAAGTATAAAGAGCTAAAGCTCTTTACCTTAAGCTAGAGAATAATAGACTCTAGTAGTTTATTCCAGTTGTCTCAGATAAAACTTTTTCCTTCCTTATTGTAAAATTGACCTCTTCTTCCCTGATGGTACCTATGTTTCAGGGATATGTTAATACCTATATTAGGGCTAGAAAAATGTCAGTTTTCTTTAACATAAAATATGATCCCTGGTAGGAGGGTGCAGTGAGGTGGGGTGAGGCTCTTCTGCCATGTCCCAGTGACTCGTGGTTGCCAGAAACTGATGGCTTGGGAAGGCTGAGCTGGAGCAGGGCTGGGCAGAGCTACAGAACAAAGCAGGGATTTATTCAAGGATCTCCTCCATGGATCCACCTTGGGCAGCACCAGAGCCCAGCCAGGGCTGCACCCAAATGACCCAAAATGGTCCCAAAATGCACGAGCGCTCCCGGGGCTCTCCCTGGGATCAGTTCTGCTCCATTGGCACCTTGGAGTTCATTGTCCCATTCCAGCTCCAGCCCAGGCAGTCCCATCCTGCTTGTTTTTCTCTCTCCAGCCCACGCTGTTTGTGCTCCTGGGCTGAGGTTTGGATCATTTGTCCTTGGTGCCCAGCTGGAGCAGGAATTGTTTTGTCTCTGCTCTGTGCACAGAGCTCAGCATCCCATCATGTGAAGCTCAGACCCACACATTAAATCAGCACAGAATGTGAAAAGTATAAAAGCTCAAAGCTGAAGCATCACCCTCCTCTCCCTGCTGATGCTTTTTGCCCGTTGCAGCTTCGGTTTCAGCGAGAAGTCGGTGATGAACGGCCGCGTTCCCGTGGGGCTCTACGGCAACGGCTTCAAGTCGGGCTCCATGCGCCTGGGCAAGGACGCCATCGTCTTCACCAAGAACGGCGACACCATGAGCGTGGGGCTGCTGTCCCAGACCTACCTGGAGGTCACCAAAGCTGAGCACGTCATGGTCCCCATCGTCACCTTCACCAACCACCATATCCTTCCGGCATTCCTTGGGAAAAGTCGGGGATGCGTCCCAAATTCGGGGGAAAACGTCACCCAAAAGAAATCTTCGGCTGCTTTTATGGATACTGATATCAAAATTTTCTCCTCGGAGAGGAGAACATTTTCAAATTTATATCAAGTGTTCAAATTTATATCAAATTTTCAAATTTATATCAAATTTTCAAATTTGAATGTAATTTATATCACATATGAATTTATATGAAAATTTATATCAAATTTTCAAATTTATATCGATTTTTCAAATATATAAAAAATTTTTTAATTAGATGTAATTTATATCGCATTTGGATTTATATGAAAATTTATATCAAATTTTCAAATTTATATCAATTTTTGAAATATATATCAAATTTTCAAATTTGATGTACTTTATATTGCATAGGAATTTATATGACAATGTATATCAAATATTCAAGTTTATATCAAATTTTTGAATATATATAAAATTTTTAAATTTGATGTCATTGATATCATATATGAATTTATATGAAAATTTATGTCAGATTTTCAAATTCATATCAATTTTTCAAATATATATCAAATTTTCAAATTTGATGTAATTGATATAATATATGAATTTATATGAAAAGGTATGTCAGATTTTCTAATTTATATCAATTTTTTGAATATATAGCAAATGTTCAAATTTGATGTAATTTATATCGCATAGGAATTTATATGAAAATTTATACCAAATTTTCAAATTTATATCAAATTTTCAAATTTATAACAATTTTTCAAATTTCATATAATTTATATCAAATATGAATTTATATGAAAATTTATATCAAAAATTCAAATTTATTTCTGGATTCTTATATCAACATTTTGTCCTTGGAGAGGAGCCATAAGGCAGAAAATTCCAGGAGATTGGTTAAAACTTTTAGCTTAGTAGGATTTCTGAGATGTGGAATGAGAAGCTGGGAAGTGAGTCCTGGAATTCCCTCATTTTCTGAAATCCTGACTCCATTCCAAGTCCCACTCCTTAACACAGTGCCCACGGCAGATCAGTGATCCGGCAGAATCCAAGAACAGCCTCAAGGCCATCCTGACACATTCCTTGTTCTCCACTGAGGAGAAATTGCTGGCAGAGCTGGATGCCATCATAGGGGAAAAAGGCACCAGGATCATCATTTGGAATCTTAGAAAGTAAGAGAAATCCATCTCTTTCCTCATTCATTTCACATTTTCTTTCAGTGGATGCAAACATAGAAGGATTTGGGGGTTCTTTGTATGTGGAGTAACTGGAACAAGCTGTGTGCAGTTTAAAAAATGGCAAGCTGGACTCAAATGTGAATTTTAGCAAATCTCTGAGGAATTCTCCTTTTTTTCCTTCTTTCCTGACCACCACAACACTTGCTCATGTATTTGCTTTTTCCCCTATAATTAATACATTTTCCCTTCTTCATTCTTAGAGATAAAAACAACAGACCTGAATTTGACTTTGACAAGGATAAATATGACATCAGAATTCCAGAAGATTTGGATGAAACAGGCAAAAGAGGCTACAAAAAACAGGAAAGACTGGACCAGATTGTTCCAGAAAGTGATTACTCCCTAAGAGTACGTGTTGGATTTTTAAAATTAGGATTATTTTTGGATGCTGGAGGGTGTAAATGTTTTAATTTTAATCTAATCTGTTTTATAGGCTTACTGCAGTATTTTGTACCTGAAGCCAACCATGCAGATCATCCTGAGAGGCCAGAAGGTGAAAACACAGCTGGTTTCCAAAAGTTTGGCCTTCATTGAGAGGGATATTTACAGACCCAAATTTCTCAATGTATCCTTTGATATTTCCATTGCAGAACTGAATTCTGTGACTGGATTTTGTTCAGTTATATTGATAAATTCTGGGTTCTTTTTTGGGTGGTTTTTTTTTTAATTATTTTTTAAGTCCTACTGAAGGAATTGTCTCAATATAAGAAAAGAAAGCTCTAAGACCCACTCAGAGCAACTCTTAAATTTTGTGTTCCATGAGATTCGTCCTATTTTTCCTTAATATCTGCTCAAAGGCCAAAACAGTCAGAATTACTTTTGGATTTAACTGCAGAAACAAAGATCATTATGGAATAATGATGTACCACAAAAACAGACTCATCAAAGCTTATGAAAGAGTTGGCTGTCAGTTAAAGGTAAGAAATTGAGTCTTCAAAATATTTTTACATCTTGACAAATTTCATCCAAATACTGATTTTTAAAAAGAATATTGATGGAACGCAAGATGTTGATGTATATTTCACAAAATCACCTTTTTTACTGTGTGCAGCAGTTAAAAATTGTATTAAATTGTTTGGTTTTGAGGCTGTTAGATTCAAAAATATGAATCTGATCACATCTTTCACGAGAAAAAGAGGGGGGGAGCAGAGGATTTATTCTTTAGGGGGTTTATATCAAGACTTTCTCCTTGGAGAGGAATCATAAGCCAGAAAATCCTTTTTCCCCAGTGTAGTTACAGTTAATAATTACCTCCAGCAAACTCTTGCAATATTGACATGGATTTTGTGTTGGTTTTCCTGATAAACTTTAATTCCTTGCAGGCAAACAACATGGGTGTGGGTGTTGTTGGGATTATTGAATGCAACTTCCTAAAACCAACTCACAACAAACAGGATTTTGACTACACCAATGAATACAGGTATTTTTATCTGCATTTTCTAGCCCATATTGCCATTTCCTGGGAAATACTTGATAAAGCTGCTTCTTTAAATAGGAAGAATAAAAGTTTCTGGTGTTCTGGCCAAACCTGGTTTAAATGCAAACAGCTATTTTTAGACCCCTTTTTGTCTGTCCCCTCTTTGTCTTTTTCCTTTTCCTTATAAATATTTTCCCACAATATCCACGCCAGCCTTGTTTCCACATTTTCCCCTGGGTGTTGTTTTGTAGCTGTTCATGAGGAGGAATTTTCCATGTGCCCAACAGTGTTTTTAATGTGGATTTTAATGTGGAAATTTCAGGCATCAAACGTTGGTGATGCTGAACCATTTCCTGTGTGGCACCAGTTCCTAGGCAGAGGGGCAGGAACTGGGAATGTCCTTGGCAGGGAATGGTCTCCACTTGTTGGGGTTTTTGGAACACTTCACATGCAAGGGAGATTTCCTCAATCCCTTGGGTTTGATTTGTGTGTCAGCACCCCAGGAAATTTGGAAACTTGGTGCCCAACCAATCTGTCCAAAAAATATAATTAAGTCAATATCCAGACAAGTGGGGAGAATCAGAGGATCATTGAGGTTGGAAAAGACCTCCAAACCTTAGAGTGCCACATCCAGTTGTTCCTGGACATAACTTCGGGGTAGAGGTGTGAGTTAATCTTACAATTAAATTAAATTAAATAATGAGCCAAGTTTGTCTGAGGAGGGGGATTTCACCCCAGCTGCTGCTTCAGCAGCAAAGCAGCTTCTCCTCTCCTGGCTGGTCTGTGTTCTGTCAGCTCCTGGTGCCGTGGAGTTCCCATTCCTGCAGGGATTCCAGCAGGACTGGCTGTGGTGTCTCCACTCTGCTGTGCTGTTTATCACCCAGGAGCATTCCCATGCCAGCTGCATTCCACCCAGGAAGCAGCAACTGCATTTCACCTCTGGTTTCAGTACTGTTAAATGGAAATGTAACTCCCCAGTTTGCTCTGGTTTTACCTCACCTCCCCTGCTCTTGGAATGTGGGTGGGCACAGTGACACCACACTTGAAACATCTCCTGTGGATTTTGTGCCAGGAGGGCTCCAGGCTTTCCAAGATGTTTTTGGTTTGGGCTGGAGCATTGTGAACCTGATGGAAAGCTGCCCTGCAGTTCTCTCCTCCCTACAAAGGGGATGTGGTGCCATCCATGCCTCACTGCTCGTTTCTGCTCTCCTGGTGTCCCCAGGCTCAGCAATCCCTGGATCCCAGCTCTGGCTCACACGAGTTCACTGCACAAACATTTGTGTTGGTTCAAGGCCCGGGGTGGTGCTGAGCCAGGCCAGGGAGGGCTGGGCCTGGTTACTCATCCCTGGATTGCTCAGAGGTGAATTCCAGGGGCTGTCCTCACCTCCAGCTCACCTGGGGGCTTTATTGTTGTTCCTCACCTCTCCCTCTTGGGCATGCCAGCTCTGGGAGTCCCTGAGCTGCACCATGAGCCCTGAGCAGGAAACAAAACTGAAAATTACCCTGGGTGAGACTGAGCTGCTCCTTTCTGTCAGAGTGCAGACTTTGTATCACATTGAAGGGATCAAATGTTGGCCAGCTCCTTGTTGTAAAGTTGGGACATCAGCCTGAGAGCAGCCATGGACCTGCACTTGGGATGTACAGGAACAGCCAGAACTAGAGTGAGATGCTGGATGGGTTTTGTGCTTTTGTAATTCTCTGGTTGAGGCTGAACTGGTGACTCTGTTCATCAGCAGCACTCTTGATTTCAGTCTTTGTGCTCTGACTTGTATTTCCAGGAATTTCTTTGCTGACAAACATGACTTCAGAAAATTCCTCATTTCTACGGGTTTCTAAATAAAAACTTTTTATAAAAGAGAAAAGGAAAAGCTTTTAGAAGAGCTTTTCTCCCACTCTCGTGCAATTAGAAATATTGGTTTATGCACTTTTTCTGTCACTGGAGTTTATAAAGGTTCTTTCTGGGCTATAATTGAATTATTCAAGGTGGTCTTTAAATTCTTTTCTTTGTAGACTCACAATAGCAGCACTGGGAGAAAAGCTCAACGATTACTGGAACGAGATGAAAACCAAGAAAAATGAGGAATATCCCTTAGCTCTGCCCGTCGAGGAGATCCAGTGAGTCCCAGTGTGACAGCAGAGAACTGAACACGGGGTTATCTGATAGCAGAACACTCTCTGGTGTGCAGATGCTGATTGATTTTGGTGTTTGCCCAGGAAACAGCCTGACCAGACGTGGGTGCAGTGCGACGCGTGCCTCAAGTGGCGGAAGCTCCCGGACGGAATCGAGCACCTCCCGGAGAAGTGGTACTGCTCCCTCAACCCTGACCCCCAGTTCCGGTAAGGACACAGCTCAGGGACACCTCCCAGCCCTTACAGACCCCCTGGCAGCAGCAGGGCTCTTCACCTCCTTCTCTCGTGGGATTTTTTCTGTCCTCTTCCTTCCCTCAGGAATTGTAATGTGCCAGAAGAACCAGAGGATGACGACTTAATACACCCCACGTACGAGAAAACCTACAAGAAAAAGTGAGTTCTGGAGACTTTTATATTGTAAATGCAGGCGAGCCCAATGGGGAGAAATGACAATGTCTGACTCAATTCAGAAGGCTGAATTCTTTCTTTATTATAACTATGCTATAATACATTAATATACTATATAAAAGGAGGATACTAAAATTACATACTGCTTTATCTCTAACACAACTCTCTCTCGAGAGTCCACCCCCAGGTGGGTTGGATTGGCCACCAGGCTCAAACAATCCTCACCAGAATCCAACCAAGCAACACCCCAGGGAAACAATTCTCCAAACACATTCCACATGGGAAAACAAGGAGCAGAATTAGAAATTGTTTTCTCTTTCATTTCTTTCTGTGCTCCTCTATGAAAAATCCTGAGAGGGAGAGAAATGTGCTTGTGAGACTTTTACATGGCCCTCAACACTAAAAACTACCAAGGAGAGCTGTGCAGCAGTTGGGGTGATAGTTCAGCTCCCAGAGAGATGATGTTCCATAGGATTTGGCACTGTGGGAATGGTTTGGGATGTCCCAGAAGCAAAGTCTGGGGGCTGTTAGGAAATCTTGGCTCTGTAACTTCCAAAGGTCCATGCTGAAGTATTTTGAAAAGATCAATACATTTATTTAGGAATAAAAGGGTTCTTAGCTAAGGTGTATGACAAAAACTGATTTGGGTAATTGTGATGCTGCTTTACATTCTAAAAGTGGGAGTTTGGGATTGTTTTAAATATTTAATAAATAATCTAAAGGGAACTTGTTGGAAGTTAAGCTAACTTCAGACAAGCTTCCAGCTTCCTGAGGAAACTCTCATTCAATAAACAAGAATACTTGGATTATTGTATCTAGCTGAGATGAGGAGTAGTGTGTTTGCTTTTAGATCTTAGATTTAGTTTTTATAATGAATGAACAGTTTGAATCTAAGCTCTTCCATGTCTGTTTTTTCCTTGCTGCTGTGCAGGGACAGGGAAAAACTGAAGAGGCGAGTGGAGTACGGCCACCAGGTAACTCCTGAAGCTGGCAGGAGCCTGCCCTGGGTACCAGTGTCTGCTTCAACATCCCCTTGTACTCTGGTGGCTCTGCAGGATTTGCTCACCACGAGGAAACCCAAAATCCCCTTTCTTTGCTGCCCAGTGATGGAAAATCCACCATTTCTTTCTCCTTAGGAAGGAGTTTGAGAGGGACAAAGGTCTCTGGCCAAAACTAGAGGAGATGGCAGTCACTGGTGGCTGTTTGTATGGCAGGACACCCAGTTTGTGAAAGGGGATTTGTTGGAGAGAGGTGATGAGGATATGGAAGCAAAGATGCCCTTAAAAGTGGGGATAGACAGAGGTGGAACAGCTACACTTGTGCAAGGAGACGCTCAAGTTCACATTAAATCCAGATGCAGATCAAGGTGTTTGATGGGAATGTCTGAATTGTAACTCAGAATCAAATTTTCTACGTGGGATTTTGTTTCAGTTGCATTCAAAGTCAATTTCTGACCTAAGATCATTTCTGGAGAAGAGATGCTGCATGTGCTGTTTTAACCTATTTATTTCATTTTGCTGTTTCTCTGCCATTACATCTCCTCCAGCACAAAAGCAATTTCTGAAATTGATAAAATTGCTTGTTTTGGGCCAGCTAAATGAACCCTGAGTAGCTTTCCCAGGGATGTCTGTCCTGGAGTTTGTGTCTGATGGGCGAACTCCAGACAGAGACACAGCTTGGGAAAAGCTCTTGCCTGAGACTCTGCACAGCACTTTAAAATTAAAAACTGGGATTTGGAGTAGTCTAGTCAGCTATTCTTATCCCAAAATGCTGAGTCTGGGTTCAAGGAGGTACTTGGATATTGAAATGTCAGAATTTTAGGTGTTGGTATATAAAGAACTGCTTAAATCCCTCCTGAAGAATTTACTAATATCTGTTTATTTCCATTCTTAACTTACATTGTCTTATAGATGAATAATGAAATACTTTTAAAAACATCTGTTTCTTCAAGTAAAGACTTCAAAACATTCTCACCTCCGAATACAAAGGAAGCTCTCCCAAGGTTACTTATACCAAAATCATCAGATGCTTCTGTTAGAAGATCTCTGCCTATTTTAATTAAAGTAGCTTCCCCTCATGTGGATGCTGACAGTAGGTGAGTGGACCTGTACAAAGGAGATTCCTGTTTATTTCTAAAATTAATAACTTAATGAAAATGATGGTACTGGTGGCAGCTTCAGCTGCTGAAATTCCTGTGGGAATTCTGGGAGCATGGGAAGCTCCAGGTTAAAGGGACCTGGAGACTTTGTCAAGTACAAAAGTGAATGCAAGAAAATGACAGAGGAACATTTTTAGTGATTTGTCTGTTCAGGAGCAGAGTTTATGTTCTCCACACTGCCCAGGCTGTTTTCCTGAAATTCTGTTCCTGGGAGTGCTGAGTCTGCTTCAGAATAATGTGGGAGTGTGTGGATGGCAGGCACTTGTTTTTACAGGAATTTACTCTGATAAAAATCCCGTGCAGGAGATTTTCTGGAATGGTAATTTTTGGGCAGTGCTCAGCAAAACTGCACACGGTTGGAAACAGATGATTTGGCAGCATTTAAGCAAATAAACTGATTATTTTAATATTTTCCTCCTCAGTCTCAAAAGGAGGACGCAGAGCTGTGCGACACCCGTGTCCCTAAAGACCCCTCGGCTCAGTGACAAAACATTCAGCAACCACGAGGAGGAGGATGATGATGAAGATGTCATCATTTTAGAGGAGAGCAGCACTCCAAAGCCTTCAGCAGATCCTGATGTTCCTGTGGTAAAAACAGAGTGTATCAATTTGGATCAGGAGGAGAAGCAGAAGGAAGACTCTCCCGTGGAGGAACCTTGCAGTGCAACCACTTCAGAGGCAAATAGTGAACAGCTGAGCTCAGCAACACAGACAGAGCTCCCAAAGCTGGTGGTGAAAAAGGAGGAGGTGGAAGACATCCCAGTCCAGATTCCTGGGGCAGAGATGGAGAACGAACAGCACAAGGTCAATGGTGTTCCTGAGACTTCTGTAGAGATGGAAAATGAACTGAAAAATCAGCTGCAGTTACTGAACACGGAAAAAGAAATGTACCAAAGCAAATGTGAAGCGTTAACCAAACAGGTGGAAACACTGGAACAGCAGCTTTTGGAGATGAATAATAAATATGTAAAAAAGGAAATGTGCCATCAGGCAGTGCAGACCTCTCCCTCCTGTGGAGAAGGGAGTGCTGACGGGAGGAGCTTGGCCGAGGTGACAGTGCTCTATGAGCAGGCCCTGGGGGAAATAGCAACGCTGAAGGAGCAGTGCAGCACCCTGCAGAACCTAAAGACTGAGTGCAGCAGATGTGCTGATGGAGAGAGCAAGAGCGAGGTGGATGAGATGGCAGTGCAGCTGGATGATGTTTTCAGGCAGCTGGACAAGTGCACCACCGAGAGAGACGAATACAAAAGCCAGGTACTTCTGCTAAAACCCTCCTGACACTTCATTATCTCTATTTTTACTCCCTGTTTCACAGCACTTCTACTACACAGTGTTTTGAAGAGTTTTTACAGCTTTGTTTTTTCTTTTGATTGGCAGATTGAAGTCCTAGAAGTGGAGAAGAATCAAATGGCCTGTCAGTGTGAGGAGCTCAAGGCAGAGCTGGCTCAGTTAAAAGCTTCAATCCCACAGGCTGTAGCACGTGCAAATGATTCTACCACCAGTAATGTAGAAGACTCTGTAAATTTTTCTGATGGAGAAAGGTATCAGTTTTGTTCTTTCTAGATGTTATTTCAAGATTTTTGCTTGTTGGTTGTATTTCAAATGTTGTGATAAAGGTTATGTCTGATAATTGTATAATAAAATGTGATGCTTGCAATTCTTTTCTACTGCCTTTTGTGACTCCTAACTAATGTTGTTTTTTTTTTTTTATCAAGTGATGTTTGTGATTTATGATTTATTTGTGTGAGCAGGATTGGCCACAACAGACTAGGAAACTGATACTTCAGAAAATATCCAAAATGTTGTATTATTTCTAAACACAACTTGCAAACCAAGGAGAGAAAAGGGAGGCAGGAAAGAGGATGGTGATAATTATTTTCTGCTGTGTAATGAACTTCACTTTGAGAGTCTGTTTTTCTGTCTTGAATCACCTGAAGAATCTGGATTTGAAACTTTCCTGTAAGAACTCCTTGCTGCAGGCAAATCCTGTGGAATCAGGGTCCGGGGTGTGTTTTGGAATTAAACAAGGGTTGAAACTTCCACCTGGAGAGCTTGGAGCTCTTGGGAAGTGGGAATAGCACACACACAGAAGAGCCCAGAGCAGGTGGAAGCAAAGTGAGCTGAGGTCCCTGCCAGGGGAGGATCCAAGGGGGGGAAGCATCAGCTCTGATAAAAGGGAGTCAGTTAAGGGATCATTCCAGCAAATTGATCCCTGGGATCAAATGAGAGGCATTTCAGAGGGAGCTGAGGGCCTTGTAGTGTCTCCAAAAGTTAACATTCCTGGGAAAAGGCAGTTGTTATGCCTATGTTGAGGACAACCAGAGCTCCATCCTGGCACTGTAGCCTCAATCCCAGCGAAAACATGGAATAAATCTACCTGGAAGTCACCTACAGCCCCATGAGAGTCAAAAGGGAGTAAGGACAACCAGCATGGGGTGACTGAGGGCAAACTGGGGATCAGCAGTAAGGCAAAGGATGAAAAAGACTTTTGCAGCTCAAGTCCTCAGCCCAGTTCTGTGCCACTGTAAAAGGACATTGAGGGACTGGAGTGTGGCCAGGGAAGGGAACAGAGCTGGGAAGGGGCTGGAAAACATCCTGGGAGAAGCAGCTGAGGGAGCTGGGAAGGGGCTGAGCCTGGAGAAAAGGAGGTTCAGGAGGGACTTCACTGCTCTGCACAGCTCCTGCCAGGAGGGGACAGCCGGGGGGTCGGGCTCTGCTGCCGTGTCCCAAGGGAAAGGAGGAGAGGAAGTGGCCTCAAATGGCACCAGGGGAGGCTCAGGTTGGAGATTGGGAAAGAAAATTTCCCTGGCAGAGTGGTCAGACCTTGGGATGAGCTGCCCAGGGAGGTTTGGAGTCACTGTGGGAGTGCTCAGGAGGAGTCTGGATGTGGCCTTGAGGATGTCATTTTGGACTGGATAATCCCAAAATTCTCTTACAGACCTGGGCATTCTGGGTGACAGAGCCAAATGAACTCATTAAATTCCTGATGCCATCAAATTGGAGAGAACTCAGAGGAGGGCAGAGCTGCTGCTGGGGGACTTTGACAAATTGGACAAACGGGCTGGAAAAAATGCCCTGGAAGTTCTGCAGGGGCAGAAGCTGGAGGCAGCCCTGGGGAAGCAGCTGGAGCAGTCCCCTGGTGCTGGGGGTGGCAGGGCAGCGTGGGCCAGCGCTGCGCTCTGCTGGTGGCACCCAGCAGCTCCTGCTGGGCGGGCTGGGCGAGTGACTCCTCCCTTGGGGCTCTGGCACCCCAGCCAGGAGTGCTGCACCCACCTCTGGGCACCCTGGCAGAGTGCAGAATAACCTGGCTAATTCCCAGAGACCCCTGTGAGTCTTAACAAAGGAATTGACCCACGTCAAAAAAACTTACCTGTCGGCACTTAATTTTATTTTTCCTTATAGCTCTGATGTGTGTTTATTAAAAGAATTAGCAAATAAATGCAGGATTTGGAAGTAACTTCCCCCACAAGTTGATGGAGATATGGCAGCACTGAGAGAACTGGATAAAGGATCTGAGAGTAGAAGGAAATGGGCCAGAGAAAGGATGGCTCATGGCAAAACAATTTGATCAGGAAGAGGACACAGCAAGGACATCCAGGAAAGAAACCAAAAAAAGGGAGGCACAGCCTTTTCCCTGGGCTATACCCCTTACTTCCTGTTTATATTTTAAAGCTTTTGGACAAACTCCTCTTTCTTGCCTTCTCCTCTCTATTTCTCTCCTTTTGTTCCTGTGGGTTGTGGTAGTTTGGGTTTGTAAATGGATAAAAATACCAGGCTTTGAGAAATACAGGTGCTGTGGGGGAAAGGATTG